GACGGCACGTAACAACAACAAACAACTACACAAGATCAAATGCTTCACATTTACCCAGAAGCAAAGATGAGAAGGCAAGGAGGGAAAGGGAAGCTAGATTAATGGAAACAGAACAAACAAAATGGAAATTATAAGTATGCTGACACACTATAAAAATTGTAAGCAATGGCATGAAATAATTTGTATGAAAATTGTTAAAGGGGAACCTAATCTGTTGTATAAACTTTCTCCTAAAACACAATAAAATATTATTTATAAATAAATAAGTAGTTTTTAAAGTTTAAAAGTAAATAAGTAAAACGTACTACAGACTTAATATTTTGGATACCTTATTCCCTGCTAACCAATGCTACCAGGCAACTGCTTCTAGAACAGATATAAATCATATTGTGTGCAGAATGCCTTGGCTTCATTTAGGAGAAAGGAAAAATTTAAGAGCAGATAAAATCCTCTTGTGACCAACAATTCCAAGCAGATGTCCACAATCCACACCCAGCAGATGGAAACATGTATTTGTTGTTTATACTCTTACCTGGAAAGTCCTCTAGTTACAAACTTTCCAAAACTCAGATTCCAACAAGACAAAGATTAGTCCTTTGTAAGCAAGGCTTTAACCAGCATGCTCTAGAGGTGGAACTACTTCAGGGTCTACTTACGCATGCAGTCTCCCCCATACCAGCCTGCTCGGCATTCTGCACAGTAGATCCCCTTCACATAGAAATCATCCAGAGTTCCCCCCCAGGAACCATTTCGGCAAGTCTTGCAGTTTTCGAAGATGGTACAGCCTGAAACATTTGCAAGAAGTTAGGTATTAGAATACATCCAGGTTCTGATCAACTGCATGATAAAGCATGGCAAATTCCAGGGGAACCTAATCTGTTGATCATGGGGTCCATAAACGGGTGTCCAAACAGTGGCATCACTGGGGGAGGGTATGGATTGCATCCGGTGACACTGTCAGAGAGGGTAACAGAAAAAGGACTACCTATAAAATTTTGTGCAGTGTTTCAGCAGAAATTTATTATTTTTTAATAAAAATACCCCTATAGTTAGTTATAACAACAAAAACATTATTTGTAAGCCCATCTTATGTGTATCAATATATTGACGAGGCTAAAATTTTCTGCTAATTTACTTTTTGAACCTTCTAATGTGCCCTAGTCAAAGAAGTAATTATTACTCAATTATAATGATGCTTCATATCACATGGTTTCATCTACATGTGGAGAGATTGGGGCTCTCATACACTGCCGGTCAGATTGTAAAATGATACAAGCACTGTGGAAATTGGTATGACAATTCCTCAAAAGTTGGAATTAGACATATCATTTGATCCAGCAATCCCATTACTGTGTTTATATTCTAAAGAAGTGAGAGGCAGGACACAAATAGATATATGCACAGCCATGTTCATCGCAGTACTACTCACAACAGCTAAGAGATGGAAATAATCCATCAACTGAGGAATGGATAAACAAACTATGGCACATACATACAATAGAATACTATGCAACACTAAAGAATAATGTAGAATCTGCAAAACACCACATAATGTGGATGAACTTGGTGGCCATTATGCTGACTGAAATAAATCAATCACACAAGGACAAATATTGTGTTAGTCCACTGTTATAAAAAGTCAAGGAAAGTTTTATATATTGAAGGAAACTTTCTTTTTTAGTTATCTGGGATAGGAGGGGAGGGGAGGGAAAATTTCTAGATAGGTTGGA